TTTGCATTATGATACCAACTTGTTGCCCATTCTCTTGCCTAGCCAGAGATTGAAGGGAGGATGATGATCTAAAGAACACAAAATCTCTGGTTGTATGCTTTTGAATAAAATCTTGCTGACGATGTACAAGCATTGTTTCAAATCCCTAAACACCGGAGATATAAGGAAGATAATCCTTTGCTAACCCCTTTTGAGCCTTGAAGTAGGAGTTTCTTTTCTATACAAAAAACCCCCCTCAAAATTTTAACCTGGGGCAGGGTAGTTTTCAGTTAATCTGATTGAGTGTTCAAAATTCATAAGGAAGATATTTCTGAAGAGAAACTGTAAGGGCTATCCTTCATGTATAATGAATCTAGAAGATGTGGAACCACAATTTTATCCCTCATTCATCAAGAAAAGAGGCAGTCACAATCTTTTCAACAAGTTAAGACAAGCTAATGTCACACGTTTTGTTCAAAAATCAAAAATCAAGGAAAAAGGAAAAGTAAAAGCCTGCTAAGTCGAAAACTTGAAAACGTGCGGCTTAGGCAAAAATTAGGGCATCCCGCTGGACTATCAATTCAAAAGAATTAGTTCAGGCAAAATTTAGGGAAAATAAAAATTGCAAAGAAAGGAATACAAACAAAATTCCTCAACAAAGAACAAATTGGTGACTACAAACACGAAGACATAAGGGTGGTTTCTACTCCGAAAGCCTCGTCGTTTCCTTAACCGTCCCAAAATCCTTTTGAGAGATGAACACTCATGTGGAATTAACTGAACATAGGGTTGGAGAACATCATGAAGAATGGGTGGGCACCTATATATTTTGAGCCTTAAAAATCTTTTTTCTAAAAACCATGAACCAAGCCATGTTACAACCCTCAAAAGTCCTAATTGAAGTAAGGTTATTTTGAAAGCATACTTCAATGAGATAGTGTTCCTGCCTCCCATGATTGTTTTCTAAATAGTTATGTTGGTATCATATGTTTTTCCTATACAAAAATAAATGGTGCTCTAACTCGCAAAATTTGTGCGATATCTTTTCAAAATCTTCAAGACTTACATAACTGTTGCATTAGAATTTTCATTCTCATAATAAACCTTTTCTAACTGCAAAACATTTGTTTGATATCAAGGAAACTCACATATAAGCACTAGTGATGAGTTTATTCTTTCAAGGCCTAAAACTATGTTGAGTAATTGGCGGATCATTTCAAGAAAAAATCATATCAGGGGGCATGTCACATGAAGACCTTAAGCACAAACATGTTGCTTCTCCCAGTTAATTCTTTCCCAACTTGTTTACCCTTTTGGGGAAAAGTTTGAAGACTTTGTTGTGCCAACTACAGTCAATCCGGGGCAATCACATCGAGATTTGATGAATCTCTCTAAGAGTTTGAAGACACTAGAGCATGGTGAATGCCAAGTCTTTTGTAAAATCCTCTTGAGACGATTTCCTCTCATCAACCATATAGCTTGGGGCATTTTAGAAGTGAAGTTATTCACAAGAACCATCATGCATCACGCAACTTATCAACAATAAACTTGGGGCATCCAAAATTAGTCACATGGGCAATCCAGATTTGTTAAGACATGTGATATGTTTTGCACACATTATCAGAGGGTGGTGTTCCCAATATCTTCAGCTAAACAAGACTTTTTCCAACTGAAGCATTGTTCGTGTTGTTATCCTTTCAATGGATTGTTGATGATAGAAGACTGGACTTTGGGGTTTTCTACCGAAAAAATATCTTCCTCTCCAAAGAGATTTAAGCCTTGTAAAAGGACCTTACTCCAATGATGACTTCTGTCTATCTCCTCTATTTGTTTTGTCAGCATATACATGACATTCATTTATTCATTCACACTTGCATCATGCACGCACATTTGTATTTGTTGATGTCATTGAGTTCGTATACCTTGGTTATGTCTATTCAAATAGTGTATTTTCTCTTTCCAAATAGAGTGTCAACTTAAGCAGAAAGTGCGCCTCCTTTCTAATTCCACACTGAGTTAACTCTCGTGGGAGAATCTTGCTTTAGCTTTCCTTTTCCATCTCTGGATAGGATAAATCCCCATTTGGGTTGTTTCCTCATTGGGTGGAGTCTTGTTTGACTGTTTTCTCTCTGGTTTATTCCTGGATTGAGCTTTGTCTCTTGTGAATGATACCCTGTGGATATCTCTAGGCTGTGAAACCTAGATGGAGAGTTCATTTATTTTTCAATCTAAATACTTGGTCTCCTCAGGAAGGATTTATTCATGGTTCCCCATTGAAGATGAACTTTATTCCCTAGTAGTGTTATCATAACCTTCTTCTGGAATATCGACGGGACAACAAGCGACTGACTCCTTATTTGAGCAGTTTGATTATTTCTGAATTTCTTTATGCTATGACAAATGGCGGTCTCTTCATGAGTAGTTTGTCCATCCTCGATGAAATTATTGATTCTCACCTCCAGCAATATCTTCATGATATTTTGTCGGTATCTTTGAAAAAACAGCAAGCGGCGGTCTCTTCATGAGCAACTTGTGTGTTATTGATATGTTTGAAAAAACAGCAAGCGGCGGTCTCTTCATGAGCAACTTGTATGTTATTGTTCTATTGAAAAACAACAAGCGGCGGTCTCTTCATGAGCAACTTGTATGTTATTGTCACCTTTGAAAAACATCAAGCGGTGGTCTCTTCATGAGCAACTTGTATGTTATTGATACCTTGAAAAAAACATCAAGCGGCAGTCTCTTCATGAGCAACTTGTATGTTATTGATACCTTGGAAAAAACATCAAGCGGCGGTCTCTTCATGAGCAACTTGTATGTTATTGTTCTTTTGAGAAAACAGCAAGCGGCGGTCTCTTCATGAGAAACTTGTATGTTATTGATACCTTGGAGAAAAACAGCAAGCGGCGGTCTCTTCATGAGCAACTTGTGTGTTATTGTAACCTTTGAAAAAACAGCAAGTGGCGGCCTCTTCATGAGCAACTTGTATGTTATTTATATCTTTGGAAAAAAACAGCAAGCGGCGGTCTCTTCATGAGCAACTTGTGTGTTATTGTTCTCTTGAAAAACAGCAAGCGGCGGTCTCTTCATGAGCAACTTGTATGTTATTGTTACCTTTGAAAAAACAGCAAGCGGCGGTCTCTTCATGAGAAACTTGTGTATTATTGATACCTTTGAAAAACAACAAGCGGCGGTCTCTTCATAACCAACTTGTGTGTTATTGTTATCTTTGAAAAACAACAAGCGGCGGTCTCTTCATGAGCAACTTGTATGTTATTGTTACCTTTGAAAAAACAGCAAGCAGCGGTCTCTTCATGAGCAACTTGTGTGTTACTGTTATCTTTGAAAAACAGCAAGCGGCAGTCTCTTCATGAGCAACTTGTGTGTTACTGTCACCTTTCAAAACAACAAGTGACGGTCTCTTCATGAGCATCTTGTATGTTATTGATACCTTGAAAAATACAACAAGCGGTGGTCTCTTCATGAGCAACTTGTATGTTATTGATACCTTGAAACACTACAAGAAAATTGGCAGATTGCGACAGGTATTTTTGTAGATTACGACGGTTAAAACCGTCGCAATTTGCTTTCCACGACGGTTGCTTTACCGTCGCAGAAGTGTGTGTCCCCAACCTATTTCGCGACGGTTACAAAAACTGTCGTTCAAGTTTACGACGGGTTGATACCGTCGTGACTATCTTTTGAGTTTCTTTTAATTATTGATGGCGACGGTTCGATACTGTCGTGAATATCTTTTGAAATTGATTAAATTGTTTATGGCGACGGTTCGATACTGTCATGACTTTTGTTGATTATTTTTAATTGTTGATTACGACGGTTCGGTACTGTCGCCATGACTTTTGTTTATGTCTTGATTTTTTTTTTATTTTTCTATTATATATATTTTTTATTTAAATTATTATCTATGTAAAAAATTTTAAATATAGTTTTTTTTTGTGTTATTTTTTTCTTTAAATTGTTTCTTCTTTAATATATTTATTTATAGTATTATTTTTTGTTTTATTTTCTATCACTTTGTAATATAGTAAAAATAATTTCAATAAAAAATATTTAACATCAAATAAGCATTATAATATCCAAAAAAATGTGTGTTCCATAATCATGTAAAATGCGAGTTCCATAATCATGTCAAGTAGTACAAAAAACCCAAAATATATCAATTCCTAATCTTATAATAATAAGTATCATTATGCCAAAAATACATGAGAAAGTTCACAATCTAATTATCTCGATCATAGCAAAGTCTAATTTGTCCCCCCTGAAGTTCCATTATCTCCAATACGGTAGCTAGACTCAGATGAACATCTACCATCAGCGGGTGATTCCAATCCCTAAAAAAATGTATTAAAATAATAATATTTAAAATAATACTCATAAAATTTAACTTTAAATGCGTCAAAATAATATACCTGTCTTCCACTAAAATTCTGCATTTGCATTAAGAGTTCAATTTTCTTTGTCCTCGCCTTGTCCCTTTGCGTTAAGAATATGATTGCCTGTGTTAATTCATCAATTTTTGAATTCTTTTCTTTAAGTGCATTAATTTCTTCTTGCATTTCCTTTATGATTTATGACGCTGTTTTAACCCAGGGACTGGAAATCAATATGCAATGTGTTAGAAACCCAAGAATTGAGTTCCAAAGAAAGAACACTTTTTTTATTAAGAAATATGATAGAATAGGAGAGAATTCTCCCAACTTAGATCCTACCACAGGGTCAAAAGTAAATGATATTGACAAGAAAGGCTTTTATATAGAAGATCATATCATCAAAAGTACAAGGACAATGGTAAGTTTACATAATCCTACGTAAAATCGATGATGACAGATATATTAAATCAATATGCACGACTATAATAACATGAACAGTCATCTATTTAACAGGCCCGGTCTACATTGTGCCATTATATTTCCTTGAAATCGCTTGAATAGATGTATTACACTACACAGGGTTTCAGCAATAAAGCAGATATGTAAATATTTTCAATTTCAACTGACTCCTTACTTACGTGCAGATAGAGAACCGGGTGAATTGCCAAAACCTTGGTTAAAAGGAGCTCCATTTTGAGAAGCCTTCAATAATATCCATTGTTATTACATGTTAAGGACGGAAATGTAAAATTCAATGTACAAGAGGCTAAAAATGCTTCCAAGAAAGACAAATTGAAGGTATCATAATACCTCCTTATCATTTTGATATTTAGCAATACTCATTGGATTCTGTGAACACTGCAACCAAAACAAGAAGCACTCAGAGATTTGATATGAAATATTAATGAAGTGGTACTTAAAGTAGAACTTACATCCATGATAGCTGCTTGAACTCTAGGATTTTGAAATGCCATGGCAACATCAGGATTGGCCATAATCTTTGAAATGACTTCTTCGGGAGAAAGCCCAATTTGATCTGATGAAAGTGATAATATAAAATGTTAGAAAACAGGAAAGGAGAATGTAGAAAGAATTAAATAATTGATCCATCTCTCAAAAAAGACATCTCTTCTAAAATGTGAGACATACCAAATTGTTGTTTAACAGCAGGACTATTAAGGTCGAAATTCTTTAAGGTGTCCATCATTCGACTGTCCCATTCAGTGCCTCCACCCATGTTGTTTCTGAAACCAAATATATAGGAGAAAAAGAAAGGATGTGTGAATCCCTAGTGGCCAGAGAATACAGTTTACCAATATATTACTAGAAAATACATTGATTTATATAACTGCAGCACATAGAATGACACTTTAGTGAGAAATAACAAATAAGATTTACATTTCTCTGCAACTTTAGGTCTAAAATCAACATAGTGACCATGAATCCAGTCATAAGTAAACTCAAACAAAAGGTTATTGTACAAAAGCAGAAGAATGGTCATTTAATTTCCTCCAGGACTGGCATTTATCCTAATTCCAAATGTTAGGTTCTGTTAGGTAAAGAATAGGGAGTCAGATTCAGTGTTAACAAATAGCAGCACCATGGGCGCTATGATGGATATACATGGCGGTTTTTAGGCTCGACGTAATGGTAAGTATCGGCCGATATTGCAGGTTTTTTTGCCATAATCCGCTACAATGGCGCCGCAGAGCGACCGGTATGGCGGGATTTAGCTCTCCGCCATCGACAACACTTCTCAGACTTAACTAATAGATTTAACGGAATGGGGGGCTAATAGCCACTTGTACATCACTGACAAATGAAAGAAATGATGACTTCAGAAAGAGGAAAACTAACTTTCCTTAGTGAATGTTTCCATTCACCAGAAAACTAGTTTTTGTATAATCGTCAGACAAAGCAATGTAAGTAAGCACTTCACCAAAAGCTTAGGGCCTTTTTATTTTATTTCATTTACCAAACCAAAGCACCACCTTTTCACTTAATTTTGTGTTTTCAAAGGTTTGCATATGAAACAGTGAAAATTCTATTGTTTTCATTGCTTCCTATAAGAAACTTTGAAAATAGAAAACAGAGGTAAGACAAGACAACATTTTTGTAATTAAGAGTGAATACAGAAAATGTTCCTTAAAAGCAAACAAACCTTTATGTTTACAAATAAAATCACCTAGATACATGGAGCAAGAAAATATCGGTGGACAAAAAAAGGCTTGGAAGATACTAGTACAATATAAAGAACTTACAACATTTCTTCAAGTCGTTGACGGTACTCAGGATTCTGCAGCATCCCTGCCAAAAGCAGCAACAGTACATCAACTATCCATCGGCCAAATTTATTAACATGTCATGTAGAAATTATCATCTAGCAGTTGAAAGTGACAAACATGATTTTGAGTTTTGATCAGCAGACTTAATTTAACCAACATAAATAGTGCTTCCATTATAATACATGGTACTAGTAATAATGAATGAAAAGACACCCATATAAATGTGTCGTATATAGGAAGTATTGTATATGTAAGTAACAATGAGTATGCTCAAATGTGGTTTTGTGTTAGTTATTTCAATGAAGGCACTAAACTAAGAAAATCATGGTGCCCACATTATAATCAATCTTAATAACATTGATTGACATTGCATAGAACCAGAAGCAAGAAAACTGTTAAGAGAATTACATTTGAAGGTAGAAGGCTTCCTCATCTCCTCAGGTAAATAGCTGCAACAGTGCCCACAAATTATGAGCCTTCTTTTGAATAAAAAGGAAAACAAATTGAATAATATAAACATTAAACAAGCATGAAAACATATAATTTTTTATCAAGGGGCCGTGACGCAAAACGCATCGGAAATCTGTTCGTTCATTTTGAGAATATAGGAATAGAGGGGAGAACCAACAAGTTCCACTCAATTGTAAGCAATTCAAAGAGCAGTAGGAAACCTAATACACAGTCTTTTGGAGATAAATGAGGTTAATTGGAAAGGGAAGAATTTAAACAGAAGCACTGGTTTTTGCGGAAAACTTTGGATGCAAAAACTTTCAATAGAATGTGGGAAATAAACAATAAAAGGCTCTGGTAGATCTTAAGACACGTCACAACTTCCAAAGTAGTTCAATATAAAAATACAGAATGGAACTACTTCTAAGTCCAATGTAGAGTATTATAGGTACTGTTGATACTTGGTACTACTGTCATACGCATTTCTAAGATTAGACAGAACAACACGCTTAAGCAATTTATGTAACCTTTTTTTATATATCCAAAAAATAGGATTTACTTGAAGTTTAAAACTTATCTGTGCTCACTAGAAATGAAAAATAATCATTATTAAAAGATAAAAGGAGCTAATATTACGGATAAACCATCTTCTGCAAATTCAAATAGGTAAACAACAAACTGATTAATACCAGATCATCATCATCACGGATAAGTCCCTTATCGCTTCCTTCTCTTTCCCTGAGTAATTTATTTTCTTCTTCAAGTTGAGCACAACGCGCTTTAGCAAATGCTAAATCCGCTTTAACGGTTTTTAGCTCACGAAGAAGTAATTTTGATTTTGCTGCTGTTGCCAATGCCACCTGAAATCAAAACAAAAGAAAATGTAGCTTGTTTGGTTACATAAGAATTTAACAGAACTTGGATAGTAGAATATGTATGTTCCATATGTGAACTAAATTTAAATTCATCACATGAGAGGGACTAAGAACAGATTCTACTAAGTTAAAATGTATTAACAATTCCAAAATCATTATAAGATGTTCTATCATCTATGCCTACACTATAACAACTAACGAGACTGCAACCATTATACATGATTACACAGTTGGCACCTTACGTCTCGGGATTGCTTAAGTTGTGTTTCATGATTAGAATGAGACTGTGTCTGATCTGATTGCTTCCATGGATTCCTTATACTTGAAGCTTGGTTTGTGTCACCTTTTCGCCTGATTTGAGATCTCAGGTCTGCTGTCTTACTCTCCACCATTGTTCTTCCATCCTGAGGAAATCAAAGAAGTTACATTGAAGATATATAACAATCATCGATGCGCACTATCAAACACATGAAATTCAGATAAACACATCAACAGATAGATAGATAGAGTTACCTCATAAGCCTTCTCACTGATGTTGTTTCCTGACTATTTGAAGAAGAAATGCTAGCAAAAGTATGCACAGTAGTAAACTTGAATAGCTTGAATATACAAAGATTCCAAATTTAGTAAAACATAGAGGTAACGGGAGCAAATGGAAATTACAATGATGGCAACAATGCGAATGAACACGCGGCTCCTTGTAGAGGGAGCTGAATATTCAAAATTAAAGTCTAGAAATTCATGATTAGCAGGAAACAATGCTATGAACTGATGATTATTGAAACCAACTCTTGGAATTTCCCAGTTGCCCCTGAAAGATAATTAACAATCTTCTATCATCATTTGATCCGTAGAAAAGGAAATTAACTAAAGAATAAATAATTAAATACCTATAGTGAAACAAAGGAGCTTGAGGAGCAGTGTAGCCTTTAAATTGCTGCATTCAACAACACAATCAACAAAATAGAGGGGAACATAATTAAGCATTTTTTTCGTACAAATTTGAATAACTTATATGTTGAGTAAGACAATAGAAACAAAGTGCAGACCTGTTGGCAAATCTCACAAGTAGTATCACCTTTCTCATTGCACCATCTTTGCACACATATTCTATGAGCATACTGCAATGTACCAGAACAAGAACAAGGTGTATCCATGTTTAAGTCTTCATCTTCATCGTGACATATTCGACATTGTACCAACGTATTAGGCGAACATGACTCAATTTGATCAACCATTTAGAATGGAAAAAAAAATCACATCAACATTGTTTGACCATAGAGTTGTAATCCTTAAGATTTAGGATGAAGTAATCAATCAACAAAATCAAACTAATATCAAAATCAAAAGCACTAGAAAATATTTTCTTTTGAAAAATTATAACTACAATATAGACCAATTTCATTATATGAGTAGTTGCTTTTAGTTGTGTTTGCCTAAGGTAGTAGGTTTGGAAAAGGTAACAGAAGAGAGGAACTTTAATTCCACATACTCAAGAAAGGTATTACTGTTTAGCAATTTGAAATTCAAACACAAACATTAACTACAAAAAAAAAGTATATATGAATCTTGGGATTGCCTATGAATATTGACATTGGAATATCAAAAATATTTCTTTCCATTAAATGAATGGTGGTCCAAATGTTATGATGAAACCTTCCTTCAAATAAAGCACCAAACTTCAAGCTTTTATTTTTCCTTTGTCTTCAAGTACCACCAAAACAACAATTCAACACGATCAATTTAGGATTCAACAAGTCCTTGAAGTATCACACAATATTTAAAAGAGACAATATCTTGTAAACATAATACTGACTTTAAGGATTCAACGAAGTCCTTGAGATCTCAGGTCTGCTGTCTTACTCTCCACCATTGTTCTTCCATCCTGAGGAAATCAAAGAAGTTACATTGAAGATATATAACAATCATCGATGCGCACTATCAAACACATGAAATTCAGATAAACACATCAACAAATAGATAGATAGAGTTACCTCATAAGCCTTCTCACTGATGTTGTTTCCTGACTATTTGAAGAAGAAATGCTAGCAAAAGTATGCACAGTGACCTTCCCCTGCACTGAATTCCGAGCATGTATTACTTATGAATGCCTCTTCAGACATGAGTGCAAAACATTGAAATACATTCAATTTGCATGGAAATTTTCATTATAACTATGTCGATTCAACTTCAATTTCAATATAATTACATACATTTCATTCAAGTACATCATAACCTAATAACCCTATTTCTGGTAAGCAAAAATCATATTCATAAGATTACCAGATTTTAGATTTTGGTGAGATTTAGAAGCAGCCCTGGTGACATGAGAGGATGAAGAGTTAGCAGAAACGCGAAAAGTCCCAAAAGCGAAAGGCTTTCTTCTTGTGAAGACGTTTTTTGAGGAGGAATGTCCCAGAAGCAGAGGTTTAGGGGAAGAAACAAGGGCTAAGTTAAGATTCTCCATTTCGAAGGTATGAAAATCGAAAATTGACGAAACTGAGAAATTGGTGGTGGTTGTGAGATGAGGAAGCGAAAGAGGTTTGAAAATTTTGGGGGAACTGAAGATAGTTGAGAGTGGTCTGTGGCGGAATGAGAGTTTGGGTTTCGGGTTCCTTGTTTGCGGTAGGGATAAGTGAAAAATAGCAATTTATGATTTGGAACTTGGATTGCTAGAGAATATACTAGCAAATAAAATGCAAGGTAAAAAAGTTTTTTAAAATGGGAAAAATGAAACACTGGTCTTTTAAAAATATAAAAAGAAAAACCAAAATCTACTTATAAAAAAACTCCATAAAAGTCCATGTGAGTTACCTCACTTGGATGGGATATTCCTAGATCTTAGTAAATATGAGTGGTTAGGGTGGCTCACGATGGTAATAAACTTTATTTAGTGATATTTATAATGTTTACGGAGTAGAAAGTGAATTGATGTTTTATGTATTTTAAGAGCTTTTTAACTTTTTTACGGCGACGGGTGTTTTACCGTCGTGCCCATGAGAATTTTTAAAGGTTTTGGGTGCGGCGGTTGTTTTACCGTCGTGAAATGAATTTTAGGACGGATAATTTTACCGTCGTGAAAGGTTTAAGGGTGCGACGGGTGCTTTACCGTCGTGATATGCCTTTTAGGACGGTTAATTTTACCGTCGTGACTAGTTGTTGGTGAAAAATCAATGTTAAAAGTGTTAAATGGGGGCCGACGGTTGTTTTACCGTCGTAATAATAATATTATGATGGTTAAATATACCGTCGCAAAATAAATATTAGGGACGGTTGGTGTCAACTGTCGTAAACACTGTCTCTATATGTCAATTACGACAGTTATCACATAACTGTCGCAATTTTTGTGTCGTTAAACACTAATTTTCTTGTAGTGAAAATATACAACAAGCGACGGTCTCTTCATGAGCAACTTGTATGTTATTAACACCTTTGAAAGATAGCAAGTGGCGGCCTCTTTATTTGAGCAACTTGTGTATCCCCAACAATAATGTTTACTCAGTAAACGACACCTCTTCGGAAAAGTTTCATGGGGAAACTTGTATTCTATCCGTTTCAAGCGATATCTTGGTTTAAAAAGGAATGTGTTACCGTTCTTGGTAAAATTCAGAAGTCAGGGATGTTTATTTCCAGTCTCAGTACTGATGTCAATCATTTCCTTTTCCAGTCTCAGTACTGATGTCAATCATTTCTTTTCTAGTCTCAGTACTGATGTCAATCATTTCCTTTTCCAGTCTCAATACTGATGTCAATCATCATTTTCCAGTCTCAGTACTGATGCCAATCATTTTCCAGTCTCAGTATTGATGTCAATCATTTTGTTTTCCAGTCACATTGCTGATGTCAATCATTTTCCTTCTCCAGTCTCAGTACTTATGTAAATCATTTCTTTTCCAGTCTCAATACTAATGTAAATCATTCAAGAGTCTCTCATTTGAAGCCTATGACTCTGTTTCCCCAGTGGAGTTATAATCTGTTCCCCTGTGGGATTACTGTATAATGTGTTTGGTTTCTCCAGCATTAGTTTGTCTCATGAAGCATCATTCCTTGTTAAATTCAAAATCTTACATTCATACCATATCATAAACATAATTGCGGTATCTTAAGGCCAAAAATTGTGTATTCTATATTTAAGTCCCTTCAATCTCGTCGAAATGAAGATCCCAATCTTCATATCTCCAGATAGAAGAAACTTAAATAGGGGCAGCTGTCATACCCCAATTTTTGACCTAAGATCCCATTTTTATTTTGCATTTTTGTACAAAGGTCAAGGTCACTAAATACAGTCGGTTTTAACCTCTCACCTTTGGGCATTGATTATGCAGAAATTGTCAAGTGTTTTGAACATTCTTAGCTTATGTATCACTAACTTCTAATCAAGCACAAAATGTTTGTTTTTTTTCCTTTGATTTCATGTACTGACAGGTCTCCTTCGATTTAGCCTTTCGATTGGACAAGTTTACTGCCTGCAAACATGCTTCGATTGGGCAACATTGCTTCCTTCGAACACGGGCTTTTGATTGGGCAATATGTTTGTTTCGATCCACATGCTTCGATCGGGCAACATTGCTTCCTTCGAACACGGGCTTTCGATTGGGCAATATGTTTGTTTCGATCCACATGCTTCGATTGGGTAACATTGCTTCCTTCAGTCACAAGCTTCGATTTGGAAATACAGTCTCCTTCAGTCACAGGCTTCGATTTAGCAAAGCTTCAATTGGGCAATACAATCTCCTTTAGTCACAGGCTTCGATTTAGCAAAGCTTCAATTGGGCAATACAGTCTCCCTTCAGTCACAAGCTTCAATTTGGAAATATAGTCTCCTTCAGTCACAAGCTTCGATTAGGCAATACAATCTCCCTTCAGTCACAAGCTTCGATTTGGCCATGTAGTTTCCTTCGAAGTGACCCCCTTTGATCCACAAGCTGGACATGTGATTTCCTTCAAGTTGGCCTCCTTCGATTCACAAGTTGGACCACTAAACCCTTCGAAGCAACGTACTTAGAGCACACATTGTTTGGAAACAAACATTTTTGTGTAATCATGAAGCTGGTCGAAGTGATCAAAACGAAAGGGGGGAAGTATTTAAGGAGTTTGTTGACTAAAGTCCCATATACTTCCAAACTCAAGCTAGTTGTGCTGCTATGCAGCAGTCCTGCACCAACCTGCGACTAAGCTCCAAAATACTGATAAGCATGCGTTGTCTCAGTCCTGTACTTGCATAAAAAAAAGAGTGCACAAGAGCTGCATTGAAGAAAACAAGGGGGCAATATACCCAAATAATTCAAATATTATTTGATTTCCCCCCTAAAATCATATCAAAGCTTGCCTATAAATAAGAGGCTCCAACACATATTTTTGAGGAGGATCTTTGGACCAGAGGAACGAATCCCCCAAATTTTCTCAAACACAAAAATCTCTCAAGTCCCTTCAACGCTTGTGAGAAAAAACCCAGAGTCCCAAACACTTACTGCCTTCGATTCTGAAGAACAAATACTCTTCAGTATCCTTCGAATCCAGTTTGGAAAGAAACATAAGACTTGTTTCTTTCCTTCCTTCGAATCCAGCATTCCCAACGCAACTGTTGGCCCCCTCTTTCAAATCCAGAACCTTGGGCCTCCACTCAAAGTCCCACACCCATTCAAAGCCTCCAGCAAGGTAAGTCACTCTTACCCTTGAACTTTTCGTTTCATGGCATAACATGTAAATAATACTTTTGTTCGTTTCAAGCATGTATATACCACTGTTCCTTTCGTTTCCACCCTGTTAACATGTTTTTAAAAGTTAACCCTTTCGTTTTGCTTTCTGTTTACCTGAACTAGCTTTAATTATTAAACTGTTTGAAAGATAAATACTAGCATGGCCTCAGGCCATGTTGTCATTTAATGCTTGAAATGAAAGAAACAGGAAACAGGAAATAGGAAACGAAGCTTCTGGCTTCTACCCTCTTTCTCCAGGTCGAACGAAAGAGACAACCAGGAGGAAAACCATGTCCAATCGAAAGACATTCCCTCACTGCTTTCAACCTCCAGTCGAAGAAGGCAACAAGGCAGAATCAAAAGACTTCGCCATACACTGACTTCCAGGCCAATCGAAGGACAGAACCTCACTGGTGCCAACCCCCAGTCGAAGGATACAACTTGCTGCTGCCTTTGCCCAATCGAAGGACAGGACCTCGCCCCTGCCAAGGCCTAATCGAAAGACGTGACTTTGCTGGTGCCAGCCTCCAATCGAAGTA